TGTGCCGGGGGACTGGATCTTTGGGATGAACCAGTCTTTGCCGTAATGTATTTTGGGGTTTAAAAGCCACTAGGACGTTGTGTTTAGAAAATAAACGTTTCAGTTTCTCTGATACTCCCTCAACATACGGAATGACCACTGGTCTGGGTCTGGGTTCCTCCTTTTCACCTGTTGGCTGACTGGAGTCCTGTTTGGGTTTCTTCTCTGCTTTCAGGAAGGCCCAGTTAGGATATCCACATTGCTCTAGAGCCTGTCTTGTGTGGGATTTCTCCTTCTGCCTGGCTCCTGAGTTAGTGGGGACGCTGTCTGCTCTGTGGCACAGAGTCCTGATGACTCCTAACTTGTGTCCAAAGTCCAAAGGGTGATGAGAGTCAAACTGTAAATACTGGTTTGTGTGGGTGGGTCATTGGCGTTGCAACCATTATATGTGAAGGGGACAGTCCCCCCCACATTAAAAAAAAAACATTCATTTGGACACCCCCCCCCCCCCCCCCCCCACACACACACACACACACACACTTTTACTATAAAACATTAGTTCAGGCGGCACAGTTTCTCTTTCTTCGTGAACAAATCCATTCCACTTGATCAATAGGAGAATAATCAAGCTACTAAAACTCTACTCCAGGTTTTCCTGGTTACCTCCAACTCTCCACCGTCCCTTCCTGCCTTTTGCCTCGGCAGAAAACGCACACAGGTGGAGGTATCTGTGTTACTGGCTCACCAGTTTAGCGAGCTTAGTGCGGGCAGTGGTTGACCAGGGGGTTGATCATAAACATATATTCATGTTAGGAGGAGAGAAGTGGAGCGCTACGTAGCAGCTTAGCTTAGCAGTAACTGTGACGCTGTAAGACGCTGCAGGTGTAAGAGACTCTGTGTGCTCAGGTGCATTAAAGTTTAAATGTCTTTAAAACCCCACACCTTATTGTCCTCAAGCTTCACGAGAAACATCATTTAGATGAGTAGTGTTGAACACAAGTAAAAAAAAGTCCAGTAGTGATGTTTTTTTCTCTATAAACACAAATAGTGCCGATCTGACGCTCTGTATTAAAGTGTATTAAAGTTAAAATGTCTCTAAAACCCACAGCTGAATTTACACAAACTTGGTGAGAAACATGATTTAAATGTGTGGAATTAAAGGAAATCTAGGGGAAATGCTGCTTTTTTGTTCACTAGTGAACACCTTTTTTTACATGCGCACACACACACCTACACACATTATTGTGTCCCCGCCACATTACGGATGCTTCTGACGCCCTTGGGATGGGTATGCGGTACACCTCAGTTTGCAAATGTCCTCTATCAGAGACTGAGACCTCACAGTCCAAGAAAGCCAACCTGCCATTTTTTACATCTTCTCGTGTGAATTGATGTATTGAAGATTTTCACATCCTGGACAGAGAGGAACGAGAGAGGAGTAAAGGAGGCCATCTTTGTGAAAAGAAACCGTCCATCATTAAACAGGGGTGGAGGCCTCCGTGTTCAACTGTCCCCCTCTTACAATGCTGTGATTGCTAGTATCACTCAGCCCTCTGTGAGTAGTAAACAGCCATCAGTGTGCTAATGATCCATTGTTAGGCTGATGGTCCTTCTTGATCATGTGAGCAGCTGGTTTTGGTTGTCAGCAGCAAACTGGTTGAGACACTCTGAGAAGGTGCTATTTAAGAGACTGAGCTGAATACAGCACCTCAGACTGAGGAAGTCTTTCGTATGAGAGACGAAATGTTTCTATATATATATTTTTGTTGTTTTGCTTTTTTTTTTTTTTTTTTTGAATGGATATGTTTGATGTGTTATTCACATCATGTCAATGTCACGTTTCAAAACAACGGTAATTTGTCAAAATAACAACAACTATCAAAATGTCAAAAAGACAGTCTAGTTTACTTTAATAAAAAATGGATGGATGGATGGATGTCCTGTTGGACAACAGAGAATTGAAGCCTTCGGGTGCTTCAAACGGTGCCACGAGACTGGAGCAGGAGTGGAGACGAGTTCAGTTCAGAACCGTGAAGTGGGAGGGGGGGGGGAGGGGGTTTTGAACACCTGACAGAATCAGAGCTATACAACCTGCTGTTCCTCTCCAAAATAGTAATTTTATTGTGTCTACAAATGTACAAATGTAAGTCAATGTTGATGTATAACAACCTGTTCAAATACACCAGAATGCAGGAAATGTCATCTCTGTTATTCAAATTTTCTGTGAGAGGACCCACCCCCTCAGGGATGTGTGCTGAGCCCTCTCCTGTTCACTCTGCTCACGTATGATTGTGCACCTATACCCATCCAGGCGGTCATATTGTAAAGTTTGCAGATGATACAGCGGTGACCACCGGACCCGGAAACCCTCCTCCAGCCCTCGTCGTACCAGATGCATCACAAACAACGATGAGTCCAGCTACAGGCAGGAGGTGGAACACCTGGAAAGCTGGTGCAGGACGAACAACTTTCACATCAATGTGAAGAGATGGAGATGGTCGTGGACTTCAGAAGGAACAAACATACCTACCCCACCCCACCCCCCAAACATAAAAAGATCAGTGGTGGAAGTGGTCTCCAGCTACAAGTACTTGGGTGTACACATGAATGACAACCTCAGCTGGAGCAACAACACCACCAGCCTGATCAAGAAAGCTCATCAGAGACTCTACTTCCTCAGGTGGCTGAGATGAGCTGGTCTGGGAAGCTCAGTCCTCACCTCCTTCTACAGGTGTGCAGCGGAGAGCATCCTGTGCTCCAGCATCAACGTGTGGCATGGAGGCTGCACAGCTGCTGAAAAAAAAGCTTTGCAGAGAGTGGTGAAGGCTGCACAGAAGACTGTTGGAGTCAGTCTCCCCACCATCACAAACATCTACACCTCCAGATGCAGGAAGAGGGCCACCTGCATCATGAAGGACCCTACTCACCCAGCACACACACTTTTTGCCCCGCTCTCCTCAGGCAGGAGGTTAAGGAGCATTAAGTGTAGAACCACTAGACTGAGGAACAGCTTCTACCCTGAGGCTGTTAGACTCATGAATCTCTAACCAGAATAATCACTGTGGAAAAAAATCACATCATGTTGCTGCTGATCTGTTTCGTGTTCATGCGTGCTCATCTGCTCACACAGACTCATGTTCGTGCTGCTGTTCGATGTATTGTTTTTATGCTATTAGTGCTTAGCGTATTCTTATTTGATGATTTTCTTAGTTCATCTCTTGGATGTTATTACTGTTTTTCTTATACATTTTATTGTTGGATGCAACTGTGACCCTGTGTACATAATTTCGTTCCACCACATGTACCACTTGTGGTGTGAATGACAACAAAGAAACTGATTCTGACAAATGTGCAGCAGGTGCTAAATAATTTAAAATAATTTATTTTAATTAAAAATTTCATGCCGATCGTGCGGCTCATCCATCAATCAGCAAATTGTGTGTCATGTCCAATCATATTTTGAAATCCGTGATAGAGTGAATCCGCAATAAACGAACCTTGAAGTAGCGAGGGAGTACTGTACTACTGTTGGTTTTCTCATATTCTGTCCGTGGTTCCTCCCCCAGAAAATATGGAATAAACAGATGACATTTCCTGCATTCCAAGTGTATTTTAACAGGTTGTTAAACATTTGATTAAATTGATTAAAAACAGGTCTCTCTTGTAAATGACGAGGCTCAATGAGACTAACAACCTGTATAAATAAACGTTGAATTGAAATTTTTATTTTAAAGAGCAGTGAATAGCAGCTCCCCCCCCCCCCCCCCCCCCCCCCCCCCCCCCCCCCCCCCCCCCCCCACACACAAACTTTAATGTCCGACCCCAACTCTTCTCAGCTGAATTCAGTCCAGCGTGTTGTTCTGCTCCAATCTCTATCACCACTGCTTCAATTCTCTGTTGTCCAGCTAAGAACAATCCATCCATTTATTTTAGATAATAACTTGGACTGTCTTTTTGACATTTTGATCGCTGTTATTTTTGACTAATTTTGAAACATGATAATGTGAATAATACACATCAAACATTTCACTCGTATTTTTTATTTTTTTTACGGTGTTTTTTTTATTTGTTATCTTTGAAATGTATGCAGGAGTTCTGACACATTAGCAGTTGTGCGCACTCTGCAGAGCTGGAGACGCTCCTTTGCGTAAAATGTGTACTGTCAGCAGGGCGCACAGCTGCACAGGTGAAGCTGACACCCCACCCACGTCAAAAATTCCAGTAAATACAATGAGTGGCTAGTGCTACGTTTGTGCTGCTTTGGGCCGTTAAAATGTTCGTTTGTGCTGCTTTGGTTTCTGAGACACAGCTGAAGGTGGATGAAGACGCTTCATCCCCACGGGACGTGCGGTCAGCGTCTCTGCTGGCAGCAGCATGTGTGTGAGCTTTTGCACCTGCTGCAGCAGTAATATCCACACCACAGACATGGACAACGTCTCCTGTCGTTGTATTTTTAATAATCAAAATAAAAATGCGCAATGACTTTTATGGGCGGAGATATGAGCTGATGGATCCGACTGAACAGTTGCCGGAACGCACACGGTGAAAGAGTTCCCGGATCTTGTTCTGGCAGAATCCGGCTCAAATTAACCACTGGTGACCCCTGAAGAAGGGATTAGCTGAAAGAAGAAGAAAACATTTGGTCAAACCAACCCAACTGTCCTGGCAGCTCTAAGAAGTGGAGTTATTAAAATAACCCAGCAGTTTTCAGTGTGTGAACAAATGCATCAGAGTTTTGGAGTAAATGTTTCCACCAGTGGGATGTTTGTGGCGCATACTGAAAGTTTCTGTGAGCTGTCTCTCTGGGATTGTGCGCCATCTTTGACTGACGCACAGACGCTCTTTGATTGGCTACTAGCTGTTCAAGGTAGGGAGGCGGAGGAGGGGCAGGAGGAGGAGAAGGAGGACATGTGGCGCGGAGCAGCTCTCTCCACAGTCAGGGAGCGCAGGACGCGCAGTCATCCAGGCAGGACTCCTCCTGAACTGAGCCTTTTTGTTTTTCACGCACCTGACTGGTTCAGATGGCGGGACAGTTTCCAGGAAGGATTTGTCTCCTTCTCTCTTGCGCGCTGCTGAAGCCCGTGAGTATCCAAACTCTGACTTGAACTGGATTTTGGAGAGGGTCGGGTTGGTTTTTGTAAACTGTGGTTGGCACCTCTCAGAGCCTGGTTTGGATGCAGGGCGCACCAAGTGCCTCTGATCCACTGAGTATCAGTAGAATGACTGCCCTGTCTAACTTACATCATTGTTCTCACCTCCTGTGTATTAGATGAGACATTAGCACCAGACACAAATATTATTTGAGTCTTTTAGGGGGAAGTCGTGTTTATTTTTTACTTTTTGTGTCCAAGGGAGAACAGTTAAGTCTCCAAGCAGGGTGCCATGGGAACAGCAGACTTTGTCTCTTTGGTCTTTAATCTCCTCCTCCTGCTGGAGGTTAAATCTATCTGAGTATCAGCTCTGTAAAAGATCTTTCAGGCTGTTTCAGCTCCTGTGAAGGAAATCAAGCAGAGGAGGCTTTACTCCCTCCTAATTTTCACTCTCCTTGCACAACTTAAAGCAACTGTGATCGATCACTGTCAGCATGCTGCACAGGCCTGCCATATGGGAAATAACTGAAGGGAAACTCTGATGTCTGAGGAGCAGGAGAAATGGTTGTGTAGCTAAAGGGAGTCACCGGAGCAGCTGCAGTTGTACAGGTTCATTTTGTGCCCAACAATAGGCAAGTAACTCCAGCCTGATTCGTGCCTACAGACAGGAGACTGAGCTGCGTCACAGCAATAAATCATCCTGCAAACAGTTGGTGAAAGTCCCGAGGGTTCACATGGATCCTTAGACATGCTGCACCAATAAACAGCATTAAAAACATCCCAAAGACTTTGTTATTAACCACCATCATCTTCCACACACTGATATGAAGATAAAATAGTCTCTAAAGTAGTCATTTGTATTCATACAATAAAATCCACAAGCACATATAGTACACAAGACTCACAATACACTAATACACCAGATCTTCTCGGTTATTGAAACCTGTATTCTAATACTGATTGACACTGTAAACAAATGTCATGAGTGGTGACTTTTGAAGCAAATTTGGCCCCCATGTTTCTGAGCTATTCTGCCAAAAATAACCGCCAAATAACTAAATCCACTCACAGCGTCCTCAAAAGTTAACAAAGCAAGTGTTGTCCTCAGAAGTTTTAAAGATTAATAGTCACATTGAGCATGCATCAGGATATTAATAGTCACAGTTCAACACAACATGCAGACTTTTTTTGTTCGGTGTGTTCACAAGTAACATTTACTTCTCGGGTTTTCCAACTGGAGCTCAAACGTTTGCATCCACACAAACCTGCATGTTTATATTGTGTTGCTCAGATTTGTGAATTTATTTGAAAGTCAAACTTTGTGTCCACAGGTGCTTTCAGCTCAGAGTCAGATGTGTGACCTGATTTTGGAAATAGACAAGGAGAGGAAGATGTGTGAGGCTCAGATTGAAAACACAACAACAGGTATCTGGGCTTGATTGAGTGTGTCTGAGTGTGTATCTCTGTGTGTATTCTTTTATTTTGGTAGCTGCTCTTATTTTGTCTCACGGTCTTTTGCAAACCCCAGAACATGATCGACACAACAAGCTTTAAGGCAACTGCCTTTAAATTACACCTTGTATGTTCAAGCGAGTTTGTTCCATCTTCTTATTATGTGCAGTTTGGACACTTAAATTAAAACACAATAAAGTTATATTTGTAAACAAACGTTAACTTAATTGAATATACATCTCTTTAAAGTTCCTGTGACGTCAAACTTTTTATATTAAATATGAACACATTTTTGGAGAGAAAACATTAACAACGATTTGCAAAAAAAACAAAAAAACAAAAAAAATACCAATTCCCACCACCGAGATGAACAATTGTTGAGATATTCTCAAGCACAGTAACAGGAAGTGATGTCAGTAACAGGATAAAAGGAAGTGACGTCAAAGGGGACCAACATCACAGACAGCAGAGAAGAATCTGATGTTTCTTTAGATTATTTTCAGTCATGATCAGAGAGACAAAGAGTCAGAGTTCAAATGTTTCAGTAAATAAAAAGCATCCATCCATCCATTATCTTTACCCGCTTATTCCATTTTGGGTCACGGGGGTCGCCGGTGCCCATGTCCAGCAATCACTGTGCGAGGGGCGGGGTACACCCTGGACGGGCCGCAAGTCCATCACAGGGCTAAATAAAGAGCAGGAAGTTCTAATTTTTAAAGAGTTCCCCTGTGATGTCACTTCCTGTTTCACTTTGGTTGCACAAAGTTAAAAAAAAAGAGTCAGTTATGTGAGAAAATGGGTAAAATCTTGTGTATTTTTCCAAATTTTTAAAATTTTACGATGTTTTCTTTTACTTTTTGTATTTGTATGGTATGCATATCACATGCACTTAAATATTTGGATTGCTCTCTCTGTAAGGGACTAAAACCATTTTCAGCTTTAGTGACGAGTAACTCACTGACTTATCCTGGAATAACCAACAACAGCAGTCTATTGATAACAAGTTGAGAATGTGTATGTGAATGTTTTTGTTCAGTGCCCTGAGATAATATCTGTTGTGACTTGGTGCTATAGAAATAAACTGAATTGAACTGAATTCATGCTGCCATCTTGATAGGTGCCACGTGATATCCTTAGTTACTGCCAGTATGGCAGCAGGTCATAAATACTGTATCTGACAGAAAAAACTAAGCTCAGCCTTTAAGTCCAATGATTGTCAATATTTATTATACTTATCAGAACCTGCACTTCAAAGTAAGTGGTATAATCCACTTGTTTTATTTGAAAATACTAGTCTAATGCTTTATACTAGTCTACCAGGGGTTGCTGCTCTCTCTGGACAGAGGGGAGGCAAACGTTGTGTACTGGTCCTGCTAAAATGTAAACACGGAGCATGTAAACTGTAAAATGGTAAATGGACTGTACTTATATAGCGCCTTTCTATCTTATTTCAAGATACTCAAAGCTCTTTACACTACAATCTGTGCCTCATTTACCCATTCACACAGCACTCTACTAGATCTCTACAAAGCTAATTGAACAAATCATTCTAAAGAGACTAATCAGAGCTTTATCACATTCATACACCGATGGGACACACATCAGAGGCAATGAGGGGTTCAGTGTCTTGCCCAGGGACACTTCAGCATGTGACTGCTGGTGGATTCGAACCCCCAATTCTTGCATTGGCGGACGACTGCTCTAACCACTCAGCCACAGCCACCCCACTGTACTGTGAAACACGTAACGTCTAACAAGATGGTGGTCATAAATCTTACCTCATACAGTCTGTGGTCATTCCAGTGGATTTCTATTTCAGTGGTTCTTAACCAAAATACTGTTCTCTTCTCTTGAAACAACTCCGTTCTGAACAAATACTACACTATATTGTAAACTTTTACGCTTTTTTTATTTTGCATCCCAAAATTATTTACAGAGAATTCAGTTTTGTTGCAAGTAAAAACGGCTGCAGCTAGCTGTAGCACTTCCTGTGCTGCCTGGGACACTATGAACAGAAAACTTATTGTATTTCCATCCATCCATCATCTTTACCCACTTCTTCATTTTCGGGTCACTGGTGCCCATGTCCAGCAATCACTGTGTGAGAGGTGGGGGACACCCTGGACAGGTCTCCAGTCCATCTCAGGGACACAGAGACAAATGAGACAACCATTCACACTCTCTCTCACCTAAGGATAATTAAGAGTTACCAATCAGACTAACATGCATGTTTTTGATTTGTGGGAGAAAACTGGAATACCTGGAGAAAACCCACGCATGCACGGAGAGAACATGCAAACCACCCAGAATGGCTCCTCCAGCTGGGATTCGATCTGGCAACCCTCTTGCTGAGAGACGGCAGCTCTACCTACTGCACCAATCTAGTATTTCTAAACATTAAAACTAAATTTGTGTTTCTTTCTTTCTTTATTTGGATTAAACAACAACAACAAACATCCTCCTTGAATCACAACCTTAACGTGGTGGAAGAGTTTGTGCCTGAATGATTCTAGGAGCTGCTGTCTGGTACGGTCTTCCAAAGCAGATTGGTCCTAGGTGACAGGCCAGAGTGATTCAGAAGACTCTTATGGACAGAAATAAAGGAACTCAGTGTCCCTTGCCTGGATGTGGGTTACCTGGGCCCCACCTTGGAGCCAGGCCTGGGGGACGGGCTTGTCGGCGAGTACCTGGTGACCGAGTCTCTACCCATGGGGCCCGGTCGGGCTTAGCTCAAACTGGTGACATGGGTTTGCCTTCCTGTGGACCCACCACCTGCAGGAGGGGCCATATGAGTCGGGTGCATGACGCCATGGGCAGTGGCAGAAGGTGGGGCCTTGGCGCTCTGACCCTGGCTTATCAGATGTGGCTCTTGGGACATGGAATGTAAGAGGAGCCAGTTGAGTTGGTTCAGGCATGTCTGACTGGGAGGAGACCCCGGGGAAGACCCAGGACACGCTGGAGAGACTATGTCTCTCAGTTGGCCTGGGAACACCTTGAAGTCCTCCCAGAAGAGCTGGAAGAGGTGGCTGTGGAAAGAGATGTCTGAACCTCCCTGCTCAAGATGCTGCCCCCACAACCCGACTTCAGAACAAGAGGAAGATGATGGATGGAACAACAATAAACTTTGTTCTTGACCCCACTCTGACTCATCAATCCCGTTAGAATCAAACTTTTCTTTTCCAAAAAGTTATCTGTAACAGATAGAATAATAACTGCTTCACATGCTTCCACAGACCCCCAGTTTAAAATCATTGAACTTCTTCCACTGTGTGCAGTATTCCTGCATGATTTCTGTATTATGTAAGGTGGAAAATTCTCTGGAGTTCATCTCAAACTGGTAGCTTGCTCCGACTCACAAAATGCAGTAGAAGCAGGTCTCAGTGAGAGGAAGGCCATCCAGCCTGTGGCTGCATAAGAAAAACTAATTCATCATATTTCATTTACACGAACAGAGTCAGATTTTAAAAAATGCAGCTGTGAGTGCGCAAGAATAAAACTCAGTTAATCTGTTTAATTCTTGATAGGGTTAGAGTTACATGTTGCTAAGTGAGGCACTGCAACATGTTTCAGTTTCATTCAACATGAAAGTCATGGAGCCACCGATATTACCATTAGTCTTTTCGTGTTGAATGTTGCTGAATCCTTAGAGCCATTGATCAAGGTGAGGTTTTTGATCTGATGAGTTGTTGAGCAGCTGTGGGTCTAAAAGTGTCACAAAGTCACAGTGATCCGGTGAATTCTAATAACACGGTGTAATAAAGCTGTTTTAATAGTCATAGTGGAAGCATGCTGCCTCAGGTTCTCTGCTGATACCAGCCTGGAGCTGCTGTGACGGCCGATACGAGCGTCCACGTTTTGGCTGCCATGGGAACTCCACTTTCAGCATATCAAGCTACTGTTTGTCATCGCAGTGGATTAATGATCCAAGAGTCTAAAGCTGAGCAACGTTTAGTTTTACCCTCATGTTGATGATGTTCGCTCTCTGTGTTCATGTCAGGCTGCAGTGGGACGTGGGACAAGATCACCTGCTGGCCCAGCGCCAACATCGACCAGGTGGTGACCATCCCCTGCCCCAAATATCTCTTCTATTTCTCCAGAAGTGTTTCCCCACGTAAGACTCAAAACAAAATTAGGTTGTTTAGATCAAGGAGTGAATTTCTTCATTTTTCTGTGACGATCAGCAAACTCTTTAACTTCTGCTTTAGTTTCTTCATTTTCAAGGACAGAGTGATGCTGAGTCTGTTCTGATCAACGTCAAATAGTTAATACGGTTTTTCACTTTAGGAACTTCTTAAATCAAAGAGAAATTATTAATAATGTACTAAAAATACAATGAAAGCAATGAAAAGTGTATCTCCTTCCATCTTGTTTTATGTCTTCAGGCGCAGCAGGACAGCAACTTTTGGGTGAAACATAAATTTATAATTCATTAAATTGAATTTTAATGAGGGCAGCACGGTGGCGTAACTGGTGGAGCTGCTGCGTCTTCTCAGCGAGCAGGTCCCTGGTTCAAATCCCGGTCCGGGAGCCCCACATGTTCTCTCCGTGCGGGCGTGGATTTTCTCCGGGTACTCCAGTTTCCTCCCACAGACCAAAAACGTGCATGTCAGACTGATTTCAAAAACAGCAGACCAAATACGGACTGACTTGGTTTTTGTGTACTTTTCAAAGACAGACCGGAGACAAATCTATACAAACCAATCAGTCAGGGAAGTGAGTCCTAAACGATAGCTAGCTCTGCTCATTTGATAAAAAAAAGGTCCAGTTAAGATCCTAGTGTTGCTCTTGGAGCTTTTAAACAGATTAATCAAAGTCAGCTCAGTGTGTGTTTTATTTATGTTATTTGACCTTTATTTTAACAGGCGAAATGTTTGAGAACCTGTTCTCGTTCACACACAGCAAACTGGGATTCTAATCCCAGCTTCAGGAGGAGCAGGGGTTTTCTCTTCTGGTCCTGGAACCAGATCATCACCCCTCAGGAGTTTATGTCAGGATTTATCAGGCAAGGAGTGAATCCAATAATTGCAGACAGGACTCTGGACGCAGTAGGTACAAAAATATAGATATTTAATAATAATAAATCCAAATGGCTGACGTGGCAGCAACTTACCCTCTGGAGACTGGAGCATGACAGGACACATCAGAACAGGACAAGGAAGACCCAACGATGACGCGACAAAGGACAAGACTCACAGACAGGCCTAAATACACAGACAAGACAGGACATGGTTACAAACAGCTGGGAACAGGAGGTGGAGGCCGACCATCAGGCCAGAACAGATCAGGCAGGCAGCCGACCATCAGGCCAGAACAGGTCGGCCAGGCGGGACCGTCCATCAGGCTGGAACAGGTCAGGCGAGCGGCCGGGAGGCCACTCAGGCAGGATCACATCAGACGGGCGGTCGGGAGACGGTTCATCAGGTCAAGACCGGTCAGGCAGGCAGCCGAGAGCTCGTCCAATGGACCATTCTTGGGGCAGTAACAGGTCAGACAGGCAGCCAGGAGACCATTCATCAGGCCGGGGCCGGTCAGGCAGGTGGCCGAGGGGTCGTCTGATGGGCCGTATTTCAGGCAGGAACAGGACAGACAGGGGGCCGGGAGACCATTCATCGGGCCGGGGCCGGTCAGGCAGGTGGTCGAGAGGTCGTCCATTGGGCCATTCTTTGGGCAGGAACAGGACAGGTAGAGCAGGAGTGATGAACTCAGTGGACAGACCAGGAGAGATGACCTCAGTGGGTGGACCAGGGGCGAGGACCACAGCAGGCGGGTCAGTGGCCAGGACCTCAGCAGGCAGGTCAGTGGTGAGGACCTCAGCAGGTGGGTCAGCAGACGAGGAGCTCAGCAGGCGGGTCAGCGGCGAGGAGCTCAGCAGGCAGG